CCCCCCCCCCCCCAAATTCCTGCTGGATCAGACATATCAATCACCGTGCCTTTCTTTTCAACACAAAACGAACAAAAAATGAAAAAAAGCTCCTGCATAACCTTCCGCTTGTGTGACCCCGTCTGATACGTCAGGCATTTACGCCGAAAGGCTGTAGACTGGCGCCAGAATAGATGGGACGAACACACATATACCCATGGCTCGCTCAAAATATGGCAGACACACCACCCCCAACCGAAGCGTCGCAAGAAACAAGAAGCACGTCCTCAGTACCATGTGGCATGTATTTGGCGCTAATAGCCCTCCCGAGGCTGGTCCAGCAGTAGCCCTCGTCGTTGTCGGAAGAGAGACATGGCGGGCTGCTGCCCCTCCGCAGAGCCGTGTCCGCCATTGCGCAACTAGGAGTTATATGTACTGCTGTACAGTACAGCACCTATGTTAATCCACAACTACATGCTGCATGCATATTTCTATGTGTAGAACGATCTCTCCTCTCGAATCACACGAGCACATCCGCACGTCGTATCTTTTGTCTCTCTCTTTGGCACTTCAGTACTTCCTTGCAGTGCAATAATAACGTGCAATGTGGCAGCAGCTGACAGAATCACCGCCATTAACAACGATGAAGGCCTTGCACACCCCCAACATGTAGATCTGCCGATGCATTGGCGCCAGGTAAAAATGCGGGGCAATCGGCAGCTCCCACGCGGGTCAGATGTTCTTGTTCTTTCACAGCCGTACGGAGAGTTTCCTAAAGGGGTTGGCAATTGTTGCAACCGGCAAGCCAGGGCCTTGTACCCCCCCTCTCTCGTGGATAGTTCAGCTACGACGTGGGTCAAGTGGGTTACCGTGACCAGAACATCATCCCTGCAACACAGATGGACGTGTGAGAGATGCACCCAACGCTCTCCTCTGATTTTTGTCCGCACAACGATATGGTTTTCTACGCACTGCAAGTATCGCCTTTTCTCCTCCCCTAAGCGACTGCCTGTCACGCGCTCCTCAAAATCCGATTTCCTTCAGGAGAGACGGTGCGCATCGCCCCGGTTCCCTTCACAGCAGTCACACGGAAATACTCCTGACGCACCTTCGTCTCGAGCACGTTGTCCACCACGACTTGACTCTCGATCGGCGCCGACATAAACGAAAACAGCTCCACCTGGAAGAGCAAGAGCATTATCACCCCAGTCAAGGTCGAAAACCATCCTCCCATCACCGTCGACTGCGACAGATCTGTGGGGATCTTGGGGTACAGATCGAGCAACCGCCAGGCACCCATGGTCACCGAGTTGACGAGCCTTTGCTGCAGCAGTGCACTGCAGCACAGCTTTTGGTCGCCCTCTCCTGGGGAGGAACGCAGAATCATGAACCGGGTTGCGTGATACCCTTACCCCGCATGTTTCCCTTCTAGTCTTTCCCTTCACAATTGTTCATTCTGCGGGGACTCTCACGCTAACACCCATATACCACCCACACCACCGCAAGTAGTACAGGTACCTTCCACCACTAGACCAGTCAGCAGTACAGTATGGATTTTGGAAGGTGCTGAGCAGAGGTCGGGGCGTTTTTCCCGTAGCATATGTTCACACTTCACGCAACATATATATGACAACAGTAGAGACAAACGTGAGACGTTGTGTGTGTTGTTTCGGAGCCGGAACCTTGAAAATCCGCGCCGGAGATTCGCCCAAGATAATTTGGAAGAAGAGTAGGACTCGAAGCCGCGTAATCACCGGTCGCCCCGGTGGTCTAGTGGTATCCTCGTAATCCGCTAGTCGCAGAGGCCGTTAGTTCGAACCCCCGTGGGGTGAAAGATTTGCGAAATGTGCGGGTGAAACCGGAATATAGCTGAAAAAAAAGCTCTTGTGAGTACCAAACTTCGACGTTAGTTAGCACCGTTGACGAGGGAAAGAAAGGGACGGCTGGACCCTTTTCGCGATAAAAATAAATATTCAGCACGCACCGCAGGAGGACGGTGGGTCGCGAAAAGAAATAAAAAGAAAAGAGTAAGCTATAGACTAGACTAATAGAACATTCCTCTCATCCCACATACTTTTTTTCTTCGCTCTTTGTTGTCTCTGTTTGTCTTTTTTTTTCCCTCTGTTTTTGTCTTTTTCTCTCTTTTCTGTACGAGATGGCCTTGTCTCTGCTTGCGTTGTGATGTACAAATATTGAACCAAGGGGTGTACCTCATTCTCTCTGGCCCGTGATGGTGACCCTAGTCTCAGTTGTTACCTCGTGCAAGCGCGCAGAGTGAATGGAGGACTCCAGAATATCTGTCGTTGATTTCTATTGACTTGCGGACCCCTCGGGGCAATTTATACGTTGTTGAGTGTATGTACCTTTTAAGGATATGTCAACCTGCGACGACGGGAATCGACCACGTCGAATGTTGGATCAGTACGGACATACGAAGGTACCGGGTAGAGAGAGACCGGAACGGTTTTAATGTGAAGACAACAGCAACAACAACAACAACAACAACAACATACAAATGATTGATGTAGATGCATGAAATGATACACTCTTTCTTTACTATGGTCCGCGCTTCCTAAAAATATATGGGAAAGGTAGCTATATATACCTTCTGCCGACACACGGGCGAGAGAGGCGACCATACCCACTGCATTTAACACACACCCACATGTCAGTGATGACACCCCAACCACACGCCTCTATCGGCGGCCACGTCAGGAGGCAACGATGAGATATTAAATGTTCTCCCGTGCCCTTTTCACATTGAACGATAGTCTATGCCATTACACATAATAGGACGAAAACACACACACACACTTTGTGTTTTCAACCGCACTAAGACTGACATCTTTTCATTGGTCAGCCGGTTAGCGCGGTCGATGCTAATAATAAAAACACACACACGCACAAGGTAAATATGTCCTCCCGCGCCGCCATGCCCCCATACATCACAAACAAAAAAAAAGTTGGTGACGAAACTATACACAACCCGAAACGCGCTTGCTCCGCAACCACATAACGGTGCAATAATAGAACACCCGGCAAACCGAGTTCCCCTAAATCTTCCGTCTACAACTAACTTCCCAACATAACATACAGATTGATACACAAGATGGCTACCAAACTGCCTTGTTGAGCCTGTTACCCACAGGGGAGTTATCGTTGTACGCTGTCTGGGAAACCGTAGACATACAGGTAGTAGCCTTTCGCTCACGCTATGGATTCATTGCGAATCTATCCTAGACGTATTTCTATAGATAGAAATGGATTTGTTGTGAGATATTGAGAAAATAAAAAAAAGAGCCCTGGTGCTTTACCCCCTCCTGTGTGACCCTGGACGGTTGTAGTTTTACGAAAAAATTACTGAAAAGTGTAGAACTCTACTACTTGTAGACATACATGCGCTGAAAACTACTACTACTGTAGTATACGTCTCACCACGAAAAAGGGGGGACTGTCGCCATGAATAATAAATATATAGGGCGAAAAGACACACAACAGCACGTTGTGAGCAAACTTGATCGACTTCATAAGTCGCGAGGGAAGGGATTGCTGTACCCTTCTCGCGATAAAAATATCTCAGGCAGGAACCGCTGGAGGGGGTCCAACAACCCCCTCCTACGCGACCCCGGTTGGGTCGTCTAGCTGGTAGAAGTGAGTGGAGGATAGGGGCCAGAGGGGCAGACGACAGAGTCCAATGATGGGAGAAAAACAAAACACACACACACANCTTCTCGCGATAAAAATATCTCAGGCAGGAACCGCTGGAGGGGGTCCAACAACCCCCTCCTACGCGACCCCGGTTGGGTCGTCTAGCTGGTAGAAGTGAGTGGAGGATAGGGGCCAGAGGGGCAGACGACAGAGTCCAATGATGGGAGAAAAACAAAACACACACACACACACTGGGTCCCAGTTCATGGTAGATAGAAGTGTTTTGTGTTTTCAACCGCACTAAGACTGACGTCTTTTCATTGGTCAGCCGGTTAGCGCGGTCGATGCTAATAATCACACACACAGTAGCTGAGAGACAAAATGGAGACGACAACCCTGACGAGGAACCACCATCTCCGTCGACATGCGGGCGAAATGAATTTGGNGGGGTCCCAGATAGTGGACTATAGAAACATTTTGTGTTTCCCGCCGCACTGAGACTGACGTCTTTTCATTGGTCAGCCGGTTAGCGCGGTCGATGCTAATAATCACACACACAGTAGCTGAGAGACAAAATGGAGACGACAACCCTGACGAGGAACCACCATCTCCGTCGACATGCGGGCGAAAT